GTAAAGTCTCCATCTTTCTTTATGGCTGCATAGTATTCCATGGTGTACATATACCACAGTTTGTTGATCCATTCGTGGATCGATGGGCACTTGGGTTTCAAAGACTTTTAAGGCATGAGAGTGCAAAAGCTCGAAACACCCTCCCTCCCAGAGATGCTAGGGTGTAGCCTTGCCTTTCACTAGATGTGGAGCCAGAAACTTGGTAAGGTTTTTTTTTTTTTGAGACAGAATCTCACTCTGTCTCCCTGGGTCGAGTGTTGTGGAGTCACAGCTCATAGCGACCTCAAACTCTTGGGCTTGAGCAATCCTCTTGCCTCAGTCTTCCCAATAGCTCAGACTACAGGCATATACTGCTATGCCCGGCTAGTTTTTCTATTTTTTTTTGTAGAGATGGAGTCTCACTTCACTCTTGCTGAGGCTGGGAAGTTTTTTGACTTGTTATTCTCCCTCAATTTCCACATCTCCTTGATTCTGCCAAGACCAATCCCTTCTACGGAAGAGATCTACCCCATTCTCGCCCGTGTTCCATGATTCTAGTTGCATCTTCATTGTTTCCCACCTACTGTACTGCAGTAGCCTCCTAACTGGTTTTTCTTCAATTGTGCCCAACACTCCCCCCCACCCATTCTTTATAAAAGCTGCCCAGAGAGATACTGTGAAAAATAAAAACATCAATTCCCTTATCTCTCAAGTCTTCACTGGCTCCCTATTAGCATATAAGATAACTCCTTAGCATGTGCGTAGATAAGATCTCTTCCCTAATATTCCCTAGTTACTCCTTTAGTTTCATCTTTGGTTCTCTTGTCACTAGAGAATCCACATTTTACTTCTCCATTTTTCCCCAAAATAAATATCTTGAAAGCCAGAGATTTTTTTCACCCCAAATTCTTATGACTAATAAGTACATCCAATAAAAAAAAAAAACAAAGCCTTAGAATAATCATTAGGCCTTAATTTTAATTAAAATCAACAATTCAGATGAAGAAAAGGACTAGAGTAGTGTTTATTAAGCTTCTGAGAAATCACATTTATATAAAAGAAATGAAACAGGTCAGCAGAAGTACAAAAAAGGATG